TCRTAGGCGCAATTGGTGGGGACGATGGAGAGGGCCTTCTCTATGGTGGCCYCCTGGCTCTGGAGTTCACTCCCCAAGGATATCAGACAAGCCCCCACATTGGCAGTCTTTAGGAGGAGCCTCAAAACGTGGCTGTTCCAGTGTGCCTTCCCTGAATAAAGGAAATAATGCCCTGCTCTGATCAATTCCCTGCAAAATGTCCTCAGAAGCACTTTAACCATTGGGTTGGTCTCCCTRCATTATCTTTTAAAGCCCTCCTGCTTAGATACATCCTATCTCTGTTCATGCCCCGTGTTTATTTTAAATTTTTTAATCTATTACATTTGGCCCGTTGATAGGGTTGTAAATTTTGTGTGTTATTGCTTATATGTGAGTTATATTAATTGTACTCTTTTATTTGCTTGCTGCTTTGTTATTTACTTATGTGTTGTTGGGCTTGGCCTCATGTAAGCCGCCCCGAGTCCCCTTGGGGAGATGGTGGTGGGGTATAAATAAATAAATAAATAAATAAATTATTATTATTATTATTATTATTATTATTATTTTATTACAGCAATTGCAGCAGTGTGCGCAAAAAAAATGATGGATGGCCTGTGTTTCACTTCAGACTGAGAAACACTGCTCTGCCCCACATATTACTGTTAGAAAGAATATCATTGAGGGCCCTTCCACACAGCCCTATATTCCGGAATATCAAGGCAGAAAATCCCACAATATCTGCTTTGAACTGGGGCCCGTCCAGACAGTAATTTTATTGCATTAATTCCCGCAATAAAGGAAGGGCTGTCCACACAGCTTTCTGGATAGTCCCTAATGAATTCTGGTTTGTAGAGAATTAATTTGATAGTGGATTTAATACATAAGCCCAGTAAACTGTGGGACAACCCACTCCCGCTCCCCCCAAGCCCCCAAAACTTTAGAAAAGTAAAATAAACTTACTTGGCCTCCAGTGCACTCTCGTAGCAGCTCTCCCAGTGTGTAGAAATGACTCGCCAGGAGAGTGGGGGGAGGGAGGAAAATCACACACCCCACTCTTCTGGTGTGTCATTTTTATGCCCCGGGAGAACTGCTATGAGAGTGCACTGGAGGCCAGATAAGTTTATTTTATTTTTCTAAGGAGTCTGGGGGCTTGGGGGAGGGGGCAGGGTCTCCAGGCTAGTCCCAAGAGAACATCTGGACACCCACCTCAGAAAGTGTCGCTTTCTGGGGTGGGTGTGGACAGCCTCCCAGAAACAATCACATTTTTAAAAACGTGAATCCTTCTGGGATAAAAGGCTGTCTGGATCCGCCCTGGGTTATCTGAGTCCACATTGCCATACAATCCAGTTCAAAGCAGATAACGTGGGATTTTATTTAGCTGTGTGGAAGGGGCTAAGACATATTATTTTTAAAAAACTAGTAGTGGGACTAGTTGCTGTGAACAAGAAAGCGAACATATTTGTGGCCTCTAAATGCTACAATTGATGCTGAACATGAATTTGGGAGGCCCTGCCTAGGCAGTGACCGGCCAGACCCAAAAAGAGGATTTGGAACACCTGGTGAGACAGCAAGCACCAAGAAAGACTTTTCCCTCAATTTTCCCAAATAAAGTCTCAACAAGTTTAAGCAAAACCACTGAGGTTTTATTTCATTCCAGCTGGAAAGGATGATGACCGCAGTTATCTGCCCGAGGAGCCGACATATTCGCTGAGCAGAGAAATACTTTTATAGTGTCAAATTCAAATCTTCTGTGGCTGCCTCCTGGGCCGGCTCTTTGCGGATTGGTTGGAGTATCAGCTGGCCAAGAGGAGCGGCTGGGGAGGCCATGCCTTGTCCAATCAGGATGCAAGGCCCACTTCGGCCGCTCAGCCAATGAGCGGGGAGGGAGAAGGGCCAGAAGGGAAACAATGAATTGATGAGTATAGTGATAAGATTATGAATGGCCCTTTCCACGCCTGTATTGATAAGGGGGCCAAAGCGATGGCTTAAGCTCTCAAGCTTCAGCCCAGGCTATTGTCCCGAGTCTTGAAATAACATCTTCCATCTAGTTCCAAAGAGCCAGTTCCATTGTCTATAATCCTGGGATATTTACTTGATGATGAGAGTTGAAATACCATTTAAGAGACCAGGAAATGGCACATAAGTGCCTTCGGTGTTGAATGCTACAATATGTCCATAGGCCACATCATCCTGGATGGTCTGGCCAATGAGACTCTTCGAAGTCCAGGGGAGGGGCCATTGGTTTATTGTCCATGCAAATTTTGCGTGTTCATTCTCTGAAACCTTTTCAGGCTTGTGATCCCATCAGTACTTTGTTTCAGGTGTATATTTGTGGCACCAGTTCCAATGAATCATTTGAGCAAGGGTGTTATGCCTCTGCCAGTAGTCTGTCTGCGCGATCTTCTTGCAGCAGCGGAGGATGTGATCCATTGTTTCGTCTGCTTCCTTACAGAGTCTACACTTGGGATCGTCAGGTTTTCCATTCTGGCTTTAATGGCATTTGTTCTAAAGGCTTGTTCTTGGGCTGCCAGAATTGTGCCAGTGTCTTTGCAGTTCGATTTTTAAATCCTCATATCATGTGAGCTTTTCCAGTTGTTTCTCTTAAATCCTGCTGTCACCTGGGATTGCAACATCGACAATCCATACTTTGTTTTTTAACACGATTGTGAGGTCAGGAGTATTGTGCTCCAAAATTCTGGCTTACTGATAATAATAATAATAATAATAATAATAATAATAATAATGTTCTTGTGGGTTTTTTCGGGCTATATGGCCATGTTCTAGAGGCATTTCTCCTGACGTTTCGCCTGCATCTATGGCAAGCATCCTCAGAGGTAGTGAGGTCTGTTGGAATTAGGAAAATGGGTTTATATATCTGTGGAATGACTGGGGTGGGGCAAAGAGCTCTTCTCTGCTGGAGCTAGGTGTGAATGTTTCAACTGACCACCTTCATTAGCATTTGAAGGCCTGGCTGAGCCTGGGAAAATCTTTTGTTGAGAGGTGTTAAGATGTGCCTGGGTGTTTCCTCTCTGCTGTTTTGCTGTTGTAATTTTAGAGTTTTTTAATACTGGTAGCCAGATTTTGTTCATTTTCATGGTTTCCTCCTTTCTGTTGAAATTGTTCACATGCTTGTGGATTTCAATGGCTTCTCTGTGTAGTCTGACATGGTGGTTGTGAGAGTGGTCCAGCATTTCTGTGTTCTCAAATAATATCTGTGTCCAGGCTGGTTCATCAGGTGCTCTGCTATGGCTGACTTCTCTGGTTGAAGTAGTCTGCAGTGCCTTTCATGTTCCTTGATTCGTGTTTGGGCAATGCTGCATTTGGTGGTCCCTATGTAGACTTGTCCACAGCTGCATGGTATACGGTAGACTCCTGCAGAAGTGAGAGGATCCCTCTTGTCCTTTGCTGAACGTAGCATTTGTTGGATTTTCTTAGTGGATCTGTAGATAGTTTGTATGTTGTGTTTCCTCATCAGCTTCCCTATGGTCAGTGGTTCCCTTGATGTATGGCAAGAACACTTTTCCTCTAGGTGGATCTTTTGTCTTTACTCTCATAAAATTACTATTCCCTCGTGTTCTTATTTATTATTTATTTATTATTTATTTACTTTGCTTATATACCGCTGTTCTCAGCCGGGGGCGACTCACAGCGGTGTACAACATAGAAAGGACAGGGTACAAATTACAAGACACAATCTAAAATCAGTCTAGCAATAACCAAAAACATCGTCATCAAAAAACAACATCAATAATACAAAATACAAAAAGCCATTCGTGTCGTCTCATCGTTAAATCACAATCCAGTATCATTTTCCGTTGTTCCATTCCTGTCGTCATTACCAATTATTGCACTTCTTGTTCAATAAGAAGTGCAACGCCTTCTCGAACAGCCAAGTCTTTAGTTTCCTGTGGAATATCATCAAGGAAGGAGCCTGTCTGATGTCCACGGGAAGGGTGTTCCACAGCCAAGGAGCCACCACCGATAAGGCCCTGTCTCTTGTCCCCGCCAGGCGTGCCTGTGAGGCAGGCGGGATCGAGAGCAGGGCCTCCCCAGACGATCTCAAAGTCCTCGTGGGCTCATAGGCCGAGATGCGGTCAGAAAGGTATCTTGGGCCGGAACCATTTAGAGCTTTATAGGCCAATGCCAGCACCTTGAATTGAGCCCGGTAGCAAATCGGCAGCCAATGGAGCTGGTACAACAAGGGCGTTGTATGCTCCCTGCATCCCGCTCCTGTTAGTAACATGGCTGCCGCACGCTGGACCATTTGAAGCTTCCGGGCCGTCTTCAAGGGCAACCCCATGTAGAGAGCGTTGCAGTAGTCTAGGCGGGATGTAACCAGAGCGTGGACTACTGTGGCCAAGTCAGACTTCCCGAGGTACGAGCGCAGCTGGCGCACGAGCCTAAGCTGTGCAAATGCTCCCCTGGTCACCTGGTTATTATTATTATCTAAGTCCACACTCAGACTGTATGGAAGGGCCCCGAGTCCACACTGCCATATATTCCAGTTTAAAGCAGATAATTTGGGATTTTATTCAGCTGTATGGAAGGGGCCTGAGTCCACACTGCCATACAATCCAGCTCAAAGCAGTTGTAGGATTTTATACAGCTGTGTGGAATTGAATAGGATTTGTTGCCAGATAGCTAGCTGTGCAATATAAAGGCTGGACCAATCCTTATCGGTTTCCTTTTTTAGTAGCTGCTTGCTTGATTGTTTTTATTAACTTTTCTTTTTGTTTTACGGTAACTTCAATAGGATGGGATGTGCTCCCAAAGAGGTGGCCAGCCAGGGCCATTTTGGCGCCCCGGCGGTCTGTGTGTGTTTGTGTGTGTGTGAGGGGGGGGGCATTCGGCGGCACACACACTCACACCCTTGATTGGCTGCCCGCCCGCCCGCGCGCAAGGCAGGGTCCGCGTGCCCGCTCGCGCTCCCTCCGGCCTGGCTCGCTGGGCGGCTGGTTTGAATGAGCCGCTCTCAGGGGTTGGGCGCCAAGGCGGCGGCAGCCAATCAGGAGGCAGGATTTTTCGCGCTGGTTTTGGCCGAAGGAGGAGGCGGAGACCAAAAGGCGGCGAGCGAGCGGAGCGTTCGGCAGCGCGGAGGGTTTGCCATCAGGGCCGGGGGATGCGAGGGCCCTCGGGGCGCCGCGGGTGAGTGCGGGGGCCTCTTTCCCGCCTCTGGGGCTCCGTGGGAAGGGAGGGGCAGAGGGTGCGGGAGGGAAGGAGCCGGCCTCCCTGTCGGTGGTGCTGGGCGCGCCCTCCCGCACCCCCCCCCCCTCTTTCTCCCGCTCGTTTCCATTGCTGCCCGCTTTTCTCCTCAGGGAGCCTTGTGGGGCTGGGAGGCCTTGGAGGGACCCCAAAGGAGGGGGGGCTCCCTCGCGCGCAGGAGGAGGAGGAGGAAGCTGTTGCTGTTTGAACGGGAGGGAGGGAGGGGGGATGCCGCTCTGGGAGGGAATGGCGGGGAAGCCATGTTTGATTCATTCTCTACCAAGGAGCTGGTGCTGCAGCGGAGATGCGATTCCCAGCACACTTCTAGAGASAGGGAGGGAGGGAGGGCTTTCCTTGAGCCCCTTCCGCCCTGGGCCTGGCTCAAAGGAGGAGGGAGGCCTCCCCCTCGGAGCGCAGGGAGGAGGCGGGCAAAGCAGACCCTCGCCCCCCAAATTTCTCTTGGCAGTTTCCCTCATTAACACCTCTTTTGAAGTCAGAAACGGGGTCTCCCCACATCCCGTTCGTGTCTTGGGTACTTGTGTGTTTTCCTCTCCCCCACAGGCAGGAATTCCAGCTGCACATGGCAATTTGCATGGAAGGAGTGGCGTGCAAGGGTTTGGGATGGAGCTGTGATGGAGAAAGGGAGGAAATAACCCAGGCCACGAAGGAGACAAGCGTCCTTAAAAAACACACCGCCACCCTGCAGACTGAGCGCCCTTCCACACAGCCCTATAACCCAGAATGGTAAGGCAGATGTTGTGGGATCTTCTGCCTTGGTATTCTGGGATATAGGGCTGTGTGGAAAGGACCTGGGTTATCTGGGGCCTCTTCCACACAAGGGGGTCCAGATAACCCAGGTTCTTTCCACACAGCCCTGTATCCGAGAATGTTAAGGCAGAAAATACCACAATATCTGCTTTGAATGTGGTTATCTGGGCCCCCTTCCACACAGCCCTGTATCTCATAATATCAAGGCAGGAAATCCCACAACATCTGCTTTGAGCTGGGTTATCTGAGTCCACACTCTGATAATGTGGGATTTTCTGCCTTGATATCCTGGGTTATAGGGCTGTGTGAAAGGGGCCTGAGTCCACACTGCCATGTATTACAGTTCAAAGCAGGTAATGTGGGATTTTTCACTTTGATATACCTTTTTTTTTTTTTTGGCTGTGTGGAAGAGCCTCCATTCAAAGCAGAAAATAGAGGATTTATTCAGCTGTGTGGAAGGGGCCCTAGGGCTCTATAATAAAATCTCACATTATGAACTTTGAACTGGGATATATGATAGTGTGGACTCAGGGCCCTTCCACACAGCCCCATATCCCAGAATATCAAGGAAGAAAATCCCACAATATCTGCTTTGAAGTGGGTTATCTGAGTCCGCACTGTGGGATTTTCTGCCTTGATATTCTGAAAAATATCAGGCTGTATTGAAGGGCCCTGAGTTATATAGTGTGAACATGGGTCTTTTCCACACAGCTGAATAAAACCACACATCTGCTTTGAACTGAAATATATTGCAGTATGGACTCAGATAACCCACTTCAAAGCAAATATTGTGGGATTTTCTGCCATGATATTCTGGGTTATAGGGCAGTGTGGAAGGGCCCTGAGTCCATACTACCCCAGTTCAAAGTTGATAATGTGAGATTTTATTCAGCTGTGTGGAAGAGGCCTTAGGGCCTCCCACACAGCCCTATATCCCAGAATATCAATGCAGAAAATCCCACAATATCTGCTTTGAACTGGGTTATCTGAGTCCACACTCAGATAATGTGGGATTTTCTGCCTTGATATTCTGGGATAAGGGCTGTGTGGAAGAGCCCTTAGTTCGCACTGGGATATAATCCAGTTCAGTGTGGATTTTATACAGAAGGGGCCTTCATGTAAGAATTGCTTAGAGGAGAAGAGATGGGGTGTTCTTTGCTTGTCCTCTCTGCTAGTTTAGAAACAAAGACTTTCACAGAAGGATTTCTACATAAATATGTATGGACTGAAGACTCTTGCCAGGCCTCTGCTGGCTAATACTTTGTTTAGAGGTGAGGGCAGGCTACTGACTTTTGTAGGATTAAATCGATCTTTTCTGCTTGTTATAATTTCTTCTTAGTTTGTGACAAGATTTATGCAGTACAATATGGCTTAGCTGCTTTGCCATAAATATTATTATGTCTGCCATCTGTGTTGTATTTTAAAGTGTTGTCAGCCTGCCACATTCTTCTTGGATAGTTCAGCCCTATGCATGTTTACTCAGAAGTAAATCCTACCAAGTTTAATGCACTCCCCTCCTCAAAATAATTTTTCATAAAGTGCTTTAATAAGATGGTCTGTGAATGATTGTGTGTGTGTGTGTGTGTGTGTGTGTGTATATAGGGTGTTACTCATTCCTTTCTTAAGTCATTCTAGAAGTAGAAAATCAACTGGATAATTTTAAAAATACAATATGGTATGATTGTGTGGACTTTCAGGATGCTTGTTGACAAGAGGTGACATGATTAATTTAATAGTTATGCAAGGAATACTCAGTCATGGTTTTTCTAGTTCCTTTCTCTGAAATATAGCCTACAGTTCCTGGTATTCATAAAGTTTTCTGAATGGTGTTAGGGAGGCTTTAACAGTGTTTTGTGGTCCTGCACGACTGGGAGTTGGACTGAATGGCCCTTGTGGTCTCTTCCAACTCTACGATAACTAATGCTCATCAATATGGGCACATATGGCACCCTTTCCAGGTGAAAAAGCCTTTTACCTTACCCAGAACTGAAGGGAGCTCAAATCACGCAAAAGGTAAGGTCAGGCAAGAGTTTCTGGACTCCTCATAATCAATGTCTTGTTCAAATGCACAAAAAAGGAAACAATATTTCACCTTGGACATGGGCATGTTGATAGTTATAGAGTTGGAAGAGACCACAAGGGCCATCCAGCCCACCTCCTTGCTATGCAGGATCTCTAGAGTAGCAGAAAATAAGCTTGCCCTCTCCTCAATGTGACATCCTTTCAAATATTTAAACATATCTAGCATATCTATCATGTTCATCTCAGGCCCCTTCTACACTGCTATATAAAAACCAGATTATGTGCTTTGGATTAGATTATATGGCAATGTAGACCCATATAATCCAGTTCAAAGCAGATAATGTGGATTATATGATTTGATAATCCGGATTATATGGCAGTGCAGAAGGGACATATATGTTCATTTCTCCAAACTAAAGCCCCTTCAACGCTGCTATATAAAATCCAGATTATATGATTTGAACTGTATTATAGGGCAGTGTAGAAGGGGCCTATATATACTGGCTTTTTGTGAAAATAATTTTGAACACACCTCTTAAAACTTGATTTTATTCAGTCTACTCTTTTTTTCTGTGTGTATACATTTTTCACAGAAGAAAAAAAAACAGTAGTTGTGGGCAGAGATATTTCATGCAAATTAGGAAATATCAACAAGAAAATAGTCTGATTGCCTTGTTCTTGATAACCTTGAGAATGGAAACTCTTATGGGAATGTTAGTAATTTCCTGCCATGATGACTAATTCAGAATGAGTAACTTTTTGATGTGCTTCAGTTGCCTACATTGGAGACATGTTCCCAAATTCAATGTTATGCAAAAAATGATTCAAAATATTTTTAAAATTACTTTTAGGCTATGTGCCCCTGGTTCATACAAAACATAAATGAGTTTCATGTTTACACTAGGGTCTTATTTTTAAGGTGCTCATTATATACATATGTGTAAATGCAGGACCCATTTTCACTGCCATATAATACAGTGTGAAACTGCATTTTATGGTCAGTATAGTCACATGATGCAGTTCAGTGCAGTTAAACTGCATTATATGAGTCTAAACTGACTTGCATTATATGACTCCAAGCATTTTGGGCAACGGATTCTCAATCTTTGATCAATGTTACTGTATATAATTGAGGAAGTTTAAAAAAATCTTTGTTTCAGATGGTCACATATATTACTATGTCGCAAATAACTCTATGCTTGTCACTTGTTTTGTCAGTATCCTGTAACAAGAAACTAGGGTCCCTGCTACACTGCCATATAAAATACAGATTATCTGCATTGAACGGTATTATATGGCAGTGTAGACTCATATAATTCAGTTCAAAGCAGATAATGTGTATTATCTGATTTGATAATCTGTATTATATGCCAGTGTAGAAGAGGCCTAGGTCTTTTCCAGTTCCTCAGTTCTTCCCTGCCTTATTTGGAAGTGTTTTTTTTTTCTTTCCAGTGTGTCCCATGAGACAATTTAATCTACTTTTTATTTTTGTTTTGAATTTATTTCTGCTAGTATCAGTTAAGATAGTAGGTAGGTAACTGGGTTTATGATCTGCATTGGACTGCCTTAGCTGTATCAAGATAGCATTCTTCAATTAATTAACTGACTAACTTGTTGCTGAGCCTCTTATTCCTTGGGCTAGATGTTCTTGGCTGGGTTCTGCTTGTTTTCCCATTTTCTAGTCAATTACTTATAGGTTGTCCCTTGTCCCTTAGCCATAATTTTGGGTTAGGATATTGCAATGTTTACTCATACCCATCCTCTGCTGTAGAAGTGAGAAATAACAAAAATCTTTTTGTCTTGTCTTCATTAATTCTGCATCTCTCCTGTTGAGAATAATGGCTATCATTAATTCCTACCATATGAAAATTATTTATTTATTTATTTATTTACTCCATTTGTATACCGCATTTATCAGCCTGGACGGCGACTCAATGCGGTTTACAGTAAAATGTGCAACACTGACAATATATAAAACAGACGTACACAGACAACACACATATAGTCATCAACGCCTCAAATAGAATCAGATCCCGTTCTCACAGTCGTTTTACCGTTCCTTGTTCAGCATGCCGTCTTTCTGAGTTAGTTGTAATTGCATAATTATCTGAACGCCTGTTCATAGAGCCACGTCTTAACCCTCCTCCGAAACG